TCATGCGGAGGAGACAGTAGGTGTGAGTGACTGAGGAGGAAGCTCTCTAATCTGACCTCTGACCTGGAAACAATAGCGCATGGCGAGGAAAATCAGTAGAGTAGGAGCTTGATCAGAAGAGTGTGTGTGTGTGTGTGTGCGTGTGTGTGTTCGTTCACCAAAAGTGGAAGAGTCAACAAATCAGACAGAGGCCTTTGTCTGCATGCGCCTCTGTGTAACTTGTCACGAGGTGTGTGTGTGTGTGTATGGAGGCCAGGTGGAGGCCAAGCAAGGATATCTTTAGCAGGAAACCTTCCATCACCTCTGTGTGTCTGCCACCATCTTTGATTGTATCTTGATTTGATAGGCACACACTCACAGATACAAACACACACACACACAACGCCTGAAGGCAGCTGTCACGGCTCACTTCCTGTCTTTTGCCCCCTCGTACCTCAAGCTCGTTCGTCAAATCTGTCACCTTAATTGACCCACTGAGTTACTTATGGTGCTCCTTAACCCTGTGACACACACACATACACACACACACATCTTTGCTGAAGAAAGCTTCGTGACATGCAGAGCTTTTTTCTCTGTAGAGTTTTCATAGAAGTCATGGCTACTACTTTAAATGGCAAAACATTGGAGGCATGTATGAATTGGCCCCCAAAGGGGAACCAGGAGGACCGTATCTTGATCTGGTGAACGCCCACTGACCCCCCCTTCTCTCGCTCTCTTTCTGTCCCTTCAGAGCAGTCTCTCAAGCAGCAGCAGATGAGCAGCGAGGAGCGTGTGGTCTCCAGCCCGTCTCCTGTCGCGGTGACCCCCACGCCGCCCAAGAGGGAACACAGTGTCCTCTCCATTCTCCGCGGCACCTCCTCCTCGTCCGTAAAGAGGGAGCCCAGCCGGCCGCTCCCCACCCGCCCGCGCTGCGCCGACAGCCCCGAGCAGCCCCTGTACCCCCGCGCCCTCTACCCGGCTCTCAGGCCCCACCCTCACATCCACGAAGACTTCCTTGGCCACAAACCCGGCCAGCTTGGTTACCCCTTGACCCATTCCCCTGGCAACCAGTCCTCAGCCACACCCAGCCCGTCGGCGAGGAGCAGCCCGGACAGCAGCCCCCAGGGGAGCCCCTCGGGCCCGGCTTCTTTCTACCCCGCTAGACTGGGTTTGTACCCCGGTTACTCCCCCCCACCTACCCCCCTCTCCTCATCCTTCTACCCTCCAGGCGCCCCTTACTCACGCTACCTCCTTCCCCATCACTACCCTCTCCCTGGCGGCGGCGTCCCCGCTGTAGGAGCAATCTTTCCCAGGATGTACCCCTTCTACAGCAGCCTCCTGCCCCCTCACGTGCCCCTCCTGCCCTCCGACACAGCCGGGAGGCGTTTCCTGATGCCTGACCACGTCCACCCTGCCTCCATCTCTGCCCAGAGAGATTTCCTCCTCCCCCGGCCCACCAGTGCCTTCCAGGCGGCCACCTCTCTGAAGGACAAAGCAGCGCCTCACCACCCTTACCCGGGGCACCCTCACCCACACAGACCCGCCCACGTCCCCTCCAGCGGCTCCCCGATGGCGGGCACAGCACCCCCCAACGAGCGGGTGCCCACCAAGCCTACCTCAGCCCTGCTGGGCAACGCCAGCGACCATTGCTCCGACGAGGAGGCCATCAACCTCAGCAAGGTGAAGCGCGGGCCGGGCTCAGCGGGCTACAAGGCGCTGCCATACCCGCTGAAGAAACAGAACGGCAAAATCAAGTACGAGTGCAACGTGTGCAGCAAGACCTTCGGCCAGCTGTCGAACCTGAAGGTGAGGATCTGAACACCGCCGAGTCGTTCCGTGTTTGTTTTTCAACATTTCCATTGATGGAATGATAATAAGGCGGTAAATCAGAGAGGCAGACGCAATATTCAAAGCCAAATACTTGGTAATGTGAGGATGGTAGTGCAATCATTAGGCCGCAGAGCAGGTTTTACAGCACTTAAAAGAGCAAGGACTGCCATAAAAAGATAATATTGCTTTACCACTTTTATTTTGTTGGTTTGTTTGACGTTTACAATATCTGAATATGCCTAAGCAGATCTTCTTCTCTGTCATGCAGGTTCATCTTCGAGTCCACAGTGGAGAGAGACCCTTCAAATGTCAGACCTGCAACAAAGGCTTCACGCAGCTGGCTCACCTGCAGAAACACTTCCTCGTCCACACTGGGGAGAAGCCACACGAATGCCAGGTGAGAAGCAATGCTGACGGGCAGATTTCCTGAACAGATGAGTTGATGAGCGACATTTAGTTTGTGGGTTGCTACAAGCCGCTGACAATATATTTTCGTCACTTCCAGGTTTGTCACAAGCGCTTCAGCAGCACCAGCAACCTGAAGACTCACCTGCGCCTCCACTCGGGGGAGAAGCCCTACCACTGCAAACTCTGCCCAGCCAAGTTCACCCAGTTCGTCCACCTCAAGCTGCACAAGCGCCTGCACTCCCGCGAGCGCCCGCAGAAATGCCCCCACTGCCACCGCCACTACATCCACCTGTGCAGCCTGCGGCTCCACCTGAAGGGCTACTGCCCGGCCGTCTCCGGCCAGTCCGCCTCGGAGGAGCTGCAGCACGCCAACGAGGAGATCGAGCGCTTCGACGTCAGCGAGCACGCCGAGCAGCTGGAGCAGCTGCAGGGAGGGGCGGAGGTGGAGGCCATGCTGGAGAAGCAGGTCTTGGGGTTGCTGTGGAGTGAGCCGGACCTCAAGTCCTCCCACTTCCACCCACACCACAAGGGCGGCGCCGCCGACCTTCTGTCCGCGGGTTACGGTGCATACCAGTCCCCGAATGAGACGTCGGTCATCAAGATGCGGCACGGCGGCACCGTCCTGTCGCTTTCCGCCAACGTCACCGTAAAGCAGGAGTCAGAGGATCACGCATAAGTGACAAAGACTTACACGACTTGCAGGCGGACTGGGTTGCCAGTAGCAGCAGCTGTAAATAGATAATTCTCTACCTGGTTGTCATCAGGAGTGATGTCATGATCACACCAGGTTTTCAACCTATCAGGGACTCGCGAACTCAGGGCTCAAGAGACACTGTCCCGTGACTACTTGGCGGTTTATTATACTTAGAGACAATCATCTACCCAGGATTTAACTTGGATGTAATTAATATAATGCTGTTATCATTATTGTTGCTGTATTATTTGGTCTCTATTTTCAAATGTCTTTGTTTAATCAATTAGTTGTTATATAACCTCCTTAATTTATTACACTTTTTATTTGTTGTCTTCAAAAGCAATAAGTGGAAGGGATGGTTACACTGACGGGGTGAAATCAATGTAAAAGACTATTTTTCTGTTGATGTTATTTTTGTTTTTTTCTCTGATAATCACTCTCTCTATGCCTGTATCCGTCCGTCCTGCGACCTCTGACCTATAGAACCAGGGGTGTCCACTCTTCAGGGGTTTATTTTCTATTTAAATTTAGAAACAAAAATAGCAGGTTTAAAAAAAAAAAAAAAAAAAAAAAAA